GCTTATTTCTCATCTAACTAACTTGTAATATTTATAATGGAGCATTACAATCCAGTAAAATGTATGATTTTTCTCATTGCAGTGCCAGTATACAGAAGAGGGATCTATGTAAATTTTTAATCAAATGCACTCGTATTGAGTTAAGGCTTTCTCTAACGAGATATGCAATATAAATACAAATCATGGTAAACACGGTGCAGCCATCGTTCGTATTCTAGCTTTAGATCGTCCTTATTAGTGTTGTACAATTTCCCTCTTAATAGCACCATCACGCCGGAAACGCGTGCTTTCTTTCTTGCCAAGACAATTAGTTTAGAGCACGTTAAGCATGGGTGAAAGAAGCGTAAGATACCGTACCTTGGGTGCCATTGTCACCAATAATCAGCAGTTGAGATCGCCACGGAATCTAGAATGTTTTCAGACATGCGTCGTAACATATCCATAAATATAAAAAAAATAAGTTCACCAAGCCCATAGATTTTATTAGAAATGCGCCTAAAAAAGGCAAAATGGTCGCATATGTCACACGTTGATAGCGACTGTTGGGGAATTTGTAATTTTAATGGAATCCATTGCATTCTTCTCACGTTTGCCGGCAACCAAATACATTTTAGTTGCCTTAAAATCGCAAATGGACGCAGTCCGGTCTTGCGGGAGTAGTATATGTCTTTTCGGATATGACGCATTTCACTTCTGCGCATGCGCAGCTTTTTTCAATGCATCATATCCGAAAAGACACAACTGCTAAAATGTATTATAACAGACTCCCCAAACTGTATTATAACAGACTCCATATAAATTACCCAAACCACAGACAAGAATCACTAAATATAATACAGTATAAAATAACCGCATTAAAAATGTCTTTAATTTTAAAACACGAACAAAAAAAAATCGAAGGAGACGGTTTCTTCTCTGCGCTAACATCTCTCATCCCCAAAGTGGCCAATTTTGTCTCAAACAACAAATTTCCTCAGGAGTAGCTGCAGTGAAAAGATCTAATGATTCATTTCTATCGCTTGAATAGTTTTCTCCTTGTATTAAATCTTTCGTATTAAAAATATATGTCTTTAATAAATGTCCATCCTCCTAAAACGTATTTCGGTGCGGGAGACATTCAAAAGTCATTGGGTTCTCTTCCTGGATTCCCATGGGCAAAATATCCCGGAGAAAAACATCTCCCAGGGCACAATTATACAGGTCCAGGCACGAGATTAGATCTGCGTTTAGACGAAAATGATATTCCCAAACCAGGGGGAAGAACCCGTTAATAGAGTTGACGCAGCAGCGCTCAAACACGACATACTGTACAGAAACAAAGACGTAACATTCAGACACCAAGCAGACAAACAAATGATAGACGAACTCGAAAATATTCCCAATCCCACTTTCAAAGAGAAATTACAGAGGGCTCTTATCATAAAACTCTTGAAGGCAAAATTGAAATTGGGTATGGGCATAGCAGACGAGATTCACAAAGAATTTCGAAAAAACAAACATTACCTCAAAGTCAAAGTTTTTGATAAAGATGAAATTTGGTCAGCCGATTTAATCAACATGCCAGTCGAGAGAGGGTACAAGTATTGTTTGACGGTGATCGACATATACACGAGATACGCTTAGGTCTTTCC